GGGGCCCCCCCCCGGCGCAGCCTTTTTTTTGGGGAAAACATTTAAAAAAAAATTTTTTAAAAATTTTTTTTAAAAAAAAAAAAAAAAAAAAAAAAAAAAAAAAAAAAACTGCAACATTTTAAATGCAGTTTCAGAGGAACCTTTGCAAGGCACTGCATGACTGCTGGGCGACATAAAGCTGCTGTGAGGTCTGGTAAAAGCAACGTCAAGAAGCAGAAGGGTTGTTAGGCCGGGACCCTCTGGCTGTTGGGAGTCCTCGGTTTGTGTTTATCTTACATGAAGCAGGAAGTGGGGGGGTCGGGTGCCAACGCGCCAGGCTCACCTGCCCAGGGGCGCATCCTCCGGGTTGGCACCGGGCACAGGGTAGGGAGCACAGGAGTCGTCGGAGGGAGTGGTGGGGGAGGAGCTGGGCAGGTAAACTGCGGTCCACAGCATCAGGTTCCGCACATGACAAACTGGGTGGAGAACCTGCGAGCAGAACAAACCCAGCACATGGGATCAGTGGGATATAAAAGCAGAAGTCTTAAAAGTCTCAGGTGTACCTCATTCAGCTGAGGTCGGCAAAAGGTCCGTTTTTACACCAAAGTACACGTTGTCGCAAAGTAAACTACTTGGTGGGAAACGGTGTTCAGAGCCAACTGTTTTGTATGCGACACCAACCTGAAAATGTTGAGTCAGCGTAACCAGTGTGGCACAAAGAGCAACTGCTGCTCTTTGTGCCACACTCATAGGTGTGTGACGGCTGACCTGGTTAGAGTTTAGATCAGGCCTGAAAAATCCGACCCACCCAAGGCGTTGTGTAAGAGTCCAATCTAATTAACTTCAACTAGAGGCCTGAACCAAAAGTAAACTTGACATATTCTTTTAATTCTGATTTTATTGCTTTTATTGAAGTGAGAAGTGTAACTTCTCCCATATTTAGCTTTAGTTTAACATCTTCCCGCTCCATCATGTCGCTTGTTGTAACCGCAGTGTGAGTCGGGTACAAATCACACGTCTGGGATGTGTGACTGAACAGATCACATCTCTGCTGCTGCTGCAGCAACAGAGCAGGGTGGAGCCGCGCATGCAGGCTGTGCGCTGCGCTTGTTACAGTCTGATTAACTTCTGCATCCTACTTACTTCATTTCCTCAACAGGTCCAACTATCAACACTGTAGTAAGTAGATTTATATCATGCATTTTCATTCGGTTCTCTCTGTGTATTTCAGGCTCATTAAACGCGCCACACAAGCCTGACCCAACGATTAAGCAAATAATTCTGATCTGACCCAATAAGATTGTTGGGACAGGTCTGGGCCATAAATATAAACTTTAGCCATGAAAGAAAAGAAATGGGGCTAGGTGGGTACCAGTCTTACTGGTACCCACTAGGAAATGAAATGAAAGAATCCGTCACGAGAAACGTATGCAGAAATCTCAACTGTGAGCGGACAGTAAGCCTGAGCGCATGGGAGCCTTCAGATGGAAGTCTGAACAAGATGTGACAAGCACATCTGCGTTGTCAGAATATTGTTTTCAAATTTGCTAAAGGGGGAATTTCACTGCCTACAATAACAGCAACCACAACAATGCAACACTAGGAAGGCTGGAAAACAGACTTTAAATCAAGTTTGAAAGCAGAACAATTAGCGATAAATGTAGAACGCTGTGAAAGTCAAGACTATGGTTTCATCCCGTCTGTTTCCGGACTCCACAGTTAAGACGTTTCTCATGAGTCGTCTTGTTGGGCTTTAATCAACGTTCCTGTGAGTGAAATGGACTGAAAGAGGCCTCTAGAGATGCAGGGTGAAAACACGCAGAGCGCCGAGGCCCCGGCCCCTGGGGGAGATGAGCGGGTGAGACGTACGGTTTCAGAGTGGGAGGAGTACAGCATGTTCCTCAGCGTGCGGTTGGCTGGCCGCAGCAGCGACCACACAGAGCAGGTTCTCTCCTGAACGTGTCGGTCCTCCCTCTCCTTGCCGCTGTTGCACAGGAAGGTGCCGAACAGACAGGAGTAGGTGTGCTGCACCAGCTTCACCTGCACGTACACACACACACACACACACACATGCTGACATGCACAGGCTTGTAAACAATCCATCGCAAGTGTACAGATCAAAAGAAGTTCTCTTAGTGTTATTAACACTCCCTGAAGGGAACTGAGATGTGTGGTGATTAGAGGAAAACCATCCTCACTTCTAGACAGGAAGACATTCAGAAGTGGTGGAAACAATATGAACTAGCAGAGGAGCTCGTACCAGGAAGGCCTCGTTGAACTCGAAGGAGCATGGGAACTGCCTCTGCAGCTGATGAACGCAGTCCAGCCACTGCAGGAAGACGGGGCAGCGCTCGTTCAGATCCTCAGAGTTCTCCCCGTGACCACAGCGGTCTGCAAACTTATGGCCAAAGTCCAGCCATTCCGTTTCCACCAAAACCTGGAAGCCCTGTGCAAACGCATCACACCTTTTCACTGGTAGGAAACAACTAGAAAAAAAAACAAAAAACTGACCCTTTCTGTGTCATAAGTTGCATTTTGGATGGAAAATTCTGCCAAAGTGAGCATTTTAGCTTACAGAAGTTGAAATAAGTTAAATTCTTCCATTTTTATACAGCATTACTGATTTATGTCTGTCCACCAAAGGCACAGTGAAGGTCCTTTTAGTCTAATTCATAAATGCTCCTTAAACCAGCTCTCACCAATAAATAATTGATAAATCTCATTCAAAGGGGCCATATTATATATTTTCCAGGTGCATAGTGCCTCTTTATAGCACAATCAAGTAATTATGTTACCTTCAGTTGCTATAAAAATGATTATATATATCAAATATGACTTAAAAAAATGTGACTTTGTATTTCCACACCTTGACATTGGCGACATTTTTATTTTTAATCATTCTTGAGCAGCAGTTTGGGGGCCGCACAAACAGCCTCAGGGCCGCACTGAGCAAGCTGCAGAAATATATAACAAAATCTAAAAATCTCACTAAATTTAGTCTCAGTAGAATTTCTGCAAAGCTAACACAGATTGTTTTAAACATAGTAAAGTTATCAACAAAAAGATCAGACAAACGCACCACGTTCAACACCACTGCTGAGACATGTTGCTGCAGATAACCCATAAAAAGAACGGAGGATGTTCTGTTGATTTAACGATATAACAGAACACAAATAAACCTACTGCTGCTGTGTGTGTGCATGTGTGATTGTGAATGATTCAGTCCAGACTTGTGTAGTATTCAAGGTATTACCTGTAAAAATAAAACCAGCTGATGACCAGAATCTGACACCAGATCCTGGCAGAAACTCAAACTGAACTCACTTTGTTGTTCTGACATCGTTGATGTTTTTGTTCATAAAGGAAAATCTGAACAGCCTAAAATGGGCAGGTCAGAGTTTTAGAAAAACTAGGTAATCTGTCATAAAGTGATGGTCAGCACATCACTACTGTTCATCTGTAACTTCCTACTTCAAATAGTTGTAGAAGTTTAAAGGAAATGGGAGCATCAGTACCTCGATGGTGCGATAGTACGGGTCCAAGAGCAGCTTGGACAGAGCAACAATCTGCGGTGTGCGGTCCCAGCCATCGGAGCAATGCACCAGGACGGGCCGGTGGTCTCTGTCCACCGCATTGACCACCAGCAGGGCCGCCTTCAGCAGCAGAGACAGGTGCTGCAGCCACTTGGTGCTCTCCAGTGCAGACAGCCAGCTGGGGAGACGGCAAAGGAGAAAAACTTTGAGCAACCGCTTTAATCTCTCAAGGACAGTCAGAGAGCACAGATCAGTACAATTCATTCCTCAAATCAGGCGTTTTAAAAGGCCAACTAATGAAAAGTAAAACAAACAGCAAATTTCATAGAAAAAAAAATAAAGAGTTTTCACGTTTTAATTTTACAATGTTTTTGATTTAAATCCAGAGCTGGAGATTTAGTGTTCAAAAGAAAAAATTAAGCACAGATTCTGGATTTAGATTTAAAACTATAAGGCTTTTTAAATATGTTCTTCAGTGTTTAATTAGATATTAATATCTGATACTGAAAAAAAATCTAGATTTGGTATTGATGACAAGGGCAGATCTATTGAGTCCAACTCTATGCTCTGAGCATGCTTTATTATTTGTATTATATTTAGAATTCCTAATTGCACTTTCTGAACCATTTGAAAGATTTGTTGCAATTTATTTTACACGTCTGACCAACATAGTTAACCTATTGTTTTTGTCATTTTCAGTTTCTTTATTTATTTCACTTCGACTCCTAATTCCACTGACTGAACAAATTAAAGTTGTTTTTACATGTTTACCATGTATATTTATAATTCAGTACATTTATGTCTGTGTTTAAGAAAAGAAAAGTTCAGCACTGTTTTTTTGTTTGGGATCAGCCAATTCTAAACCTCAGATATCAGTATCGGTATCGGAAGTGAAAACAGTGGATTAGTGCATCCCTCTGCTTAATTCTGTGGACCTTTACAGAATATAATTATTCAGAACCATACAAACACAAATACATATAAGTTCGAGTCCTTTACTTTCCCCAAAATAAAGCACATCTATTCTGGTACATCTAGAATAACCCTGACTGTGAGGACATTTCTAACCTCATGACTGGATTCTACAACCTTCTCCTGCAGCAGTGCAGTTTAATTACACATCAACCTGGAGTTAACTTGGAGAGTTCAAATGGAAATGGATCCTCTATCTGGGCTGGAGCCAGGCTCTAAATCAGGCACAGATGTCTGAGCTAGGCCATAACACAACAGTGATTACTAGGTACCTCCAGCAGGCAAAGCTGTGCTGCAGTTGTAATCTCAGCCTGTATGGTCATAATGTTGTGTCTAGAGGAGTCTGAAAGCACTGCTGGAGGGAACTGTAATTAAACATAAAGGGAAGAAGAAGTAAAAAAAAAACAAACAAAAAAAAAACATACTTGGCTGGGTCAGGCATCTGAGTGCAGAGGAAACGTAGTGACTGGAAACTCTTGCGGATGGAGTGAATGTTGGCCATTCCCATGAACACAACCTCACAGTTGGGATAGTACTCTGGGGGAAAAAAAAGAAAAGAAATACAGACAAAAACCCGTTTAATTTTAGCACAAAGAACAATCGCATTTGTGGCTAAGTGAACTTCTGATTCTGCAGCATGCATTGACCTAAATCTGCTTGAAACCTTAAACCGAGACACAAAGCCTACCTGGGCACTCGCAGCCTCCCCCCTTGGCCCTGTTAGCCACTGCCGCTGCGTACGACCTAGCATCCAGGATCAGTAGCTTGTGGGGCTGGATGGCCAGAGTCTCCACCTCTGAGCTGTTAGTCATGGAGGATTCTGGGAAAAAAAGGAGTTATTGTAGTTTTGTTCAGATTTAATAGAAATATTTAGAATGTTGCTAAAAAAAATTGCTATTCCAAAAACATGCTTGAATTGCCTTGCAAAAGAATTCAGAAATTTTTACATTTTTACCAGTTGATTACATTTATAGCCACAAAACTTAATACATTGTCTTAACATTTTATATGGGGGAAAAAACAAAGTGTGAAGGGAAAGAAAAATAACTGATCACAATTCACTCATAAACTTTATGTATTCATTTGGATTTTTTTCTGAAAAATCAGGAATATTTATCCAAACCATTTTCACATTTAGAGACTGAAATGTTTTGCACCATTTTTCTTTTGTAAAATAAGAATTATTCATAAAAGTAAGAAAATAAAATGAGAATTATTTCATAAAGCATCATTACAATTTCAAAGTCTTGTCCTGTAACTCAATTAGATTTAGGTTTGGACTTTGAATAGGCCATGCCAACACATGGATATGATTTGATTTAAACCATTCAATCCTCAGTGAGACATTCAAAGCTTAGGATATTGTTTTACTCAATAAAAAAAGAGAGATTTATCCTGAAGGAAAATTAAATGTTTTATAACTCATATCATCCAAGTAAATTCAAAGAGTTGTTGAGGATGATCCATTATGATGATCTGAACTTCCTGTTTGGTCCTGCATTGAATCCTTGAAGCCTCTTTTTCAGCTGCTCTGGGATTTGGGGGTCATAGTTCAGATATTATATGAGCTTTTAAGATGCTTATCAGCTGCTCCCAGCTGTAAAAACAATACCTTGTTGCCATGGTTACATATCATAACAACTGTCCGAAAGTAAAACGTAAAACCAGCAGCAAAAGCAACTCCTTAAAGAAAATTATGAACAATGACTTAAC